TGTAGTGGTGTTTTATATATTGCACAGTTAGTCCTACCAACCTACCCACCATTACATGGTTTTATTGGCTCAACCAATAATACAGTCAATATTATCAGAGTAACAAATATGATGGCTTATAAAATCGTTAATGTCAAAATATAAATAAAAATAAAAAAATTAAAAGAGTTATATTTTTTATTTCTTAAGTCTCAACTATTCAATAAAATAAATGTAAGTCTACACATTCAAGTTTTAATATTTGAAGTCAATAATCATCTCTTTTATTTTCTATGTTTTTATTTATTTTTAGTTCTTGACCAGTACTTTATATGATATTTTATAATATTTACAGTATTTCTGATGCAACTCTGGTACAATATGTATTATCATAAATTTAGTATTTATTTTTTTGGTATAAGATTAAAGGTCGTTATTCAATATTAACCATATGTATCGTTCAATATTTACACACTGATATATATAATGTTGATACCAGACCGGGTCACTTAGGTAATTATATCAATAGGAGAATCGCCGAAGTCGAATTGAGACATTTAGGCCGCATTCAATTACCAAGGTGATGAGGGATAACGTACTAAGTCGAGGATCTGGGAAACAACAAGACCGAGATGGGCGAATAAGCAGGTCGAACAGAGATTGAAGGGTTCTTAGGTCGAAGAGGACGTCGTAGATATAGGAGCATCGAAGCACCAATCACCCCCTAACGAATCGCATCCTAAGTTGAGGAGAATCATTCTCAACTTCCACCAATCGAAGCATCCAAAGACAATTATTGTAAGAAAAAACTATTTAAAATGGATTCAGTCAGTGGACTTTCTAAAATGAAGGGCATTTTCGTCTAAATGAAGGCACTTGGAAAATAGCTGACGTGGAATTTTTATTTATAAATAGTTATCGGTCTAATTGCTAAATACAATCAGTATTTTGTACGCGGTGACAATATTAGCCACCACCTTTATGAATTGACAATATTAACCAACAACTTTCAAAATTTTGAAATTATTACCTATGTTCGACCAAATTCGAGGGCAATTGTTACCGCTGCGTAAAAAAATACTGACTATATTTTGCAATTTATTTGTCAAATTTGGTTTGATTTAAGTAATAATCTCGAAATTTTAAAAGTTGTTGGCTAATATTACCAACTCATAAAGATAGTGATTATTATTGCCACCGTGTACAAGATACTAACTATATTTTTTAATTTAATTTGTCCACATTTTATCTTGCGATAAATACAGCCAAAAAAAGAAAAATATTTTACTAACATTTTTCCTTTAGCTGAGATTTAAGTAGAAAACGATACGTGTCATGAGTGATTCATTTGTGGCTCAATTGACCGTTGGATTCTCCTCGAGATACCTTCCAATAATAATAACATGTCCATACTAAAACATTTGAGAATGGACTATTGTGCTCTGTCCCACACACAATAAAACCCCTCCCATTCTCATTAAATAATTTGTCCACAAAAACAGTCTCCCCAATCAGGTTCTCAAAAAAGTGTGTGCCATTCAATTTCAACAATCCAATTTCTCGGGGAGTGTTCCCGATAAAGATAACTTTTCACAAATATACCGTATCGCGATAAGTTGGAAAGAGATGCTAGTGGCATCTCCTCGTAATTTTGTCCTAGATATTGTCCGAAAAATGGCGAGACAATTAAGTCCGAATAAAAGGCATTGTCGTTTGATGTGTATGGCTTTATGAGTGAGAGTATGTGATTTCCCTATGAAGTTGAAAGTTAATTTCAGTCCTACCGGCTTCTTAATTAGTCGGTTTCCCTGTAGATTCAAAAGACGGAAGGTTCTTGTACAAAAAAAAAGTTAATTTCAGCTTTTCTCTATGTATGGTATTTGTATGTTCAATTATAAATTTCTATTAAAAAAAAGATGATTATTAAAGTTTTGAGAATAATAAAGGGTGAAAAATATAAAATATACTCGATGATTAAATAAAATAATTATTTTATTCAATAATTTTTGGGATTGCATAATATTTTTACTCTACAATTAATAATGAAGATCGTCGCCTGATTTTTCCTTAATTTTATTTAGTAATAACTCAATTTATTAAATAATTTTTTGAATTGATTAAAATTATTGAATATGTTATGTAATTATGTCAAAATATATTTTGTAGATTTGCATAGTTGCACTGAAACCTATTCCAGTTACAGCCTTGGATGTGTTTTATGATTTTTGTAATAAATTATTGAAATAGCTTTATTGGAACTTCACTTTATAGGGAGGTGCTACAAGTTCCGAAATTATTTCGTCGCTGTTAGATCATCATATAATTATCATATCGGGGACAGTTATTTTAACGGTTATAAACTCTAACGAAATAGCTCCATAACGGAACCGTACTATTTCCCAACTTTTACAATTAGGTATTCATTGTCCTAAAATAATTGAAGAAAGAAAATGATACTTAAAAAGAGAACCATAAATGTAGCCTTTGGAGCAGAAAAAAAAAAAAAAAAAATTGGTGCGTTAGATCCATCCACAACCGTCCATCTTGTTGATCTAATCCCAAGTGGGCCCGGCTCCTTCAAAACCCTAGTTTAAATGTGCGGCCGACAACACTCTCATTGTACAAACAATAGACCTTGTTCAAAATATTTTTATGTGTATATATTTGCCCCTTTTCAGAAATAAAATAAAATGAAATAATTTTCTTTAAATAGAAACGAGCTTTCCCACAAAATGAAATACTAGTATATAAATATATATGATCTACATTTTTTCATGTTGTTTCCTGAAAATGCAAAAAGTCTACAACTTTTCTTGAACCAATTAAAAATTAATTTTTGGGAGAATAAACACTATTTTAATTAAAGGGCATTCTGGACATTATTTTGAGGTGATTAGCTCGAGTTCGTGTCCTTGTGATAAACGAGTGAGGTTGATTCTTTTAAGGTCGTGTATTTGTCTAATAAACTTATTACAACTTTAAATGAGTTTGTTCGTGAATAAGTTCGATCCAATTTTTTATTTGAAATTTATAGAAAAAAGATAAATAAAAAACAAGTTGTTCGTGGACAAGCTGAACTCGAATCATTTAGAGGGTGTTTGGATACAAAATTGTTTCATTTTTAATCTAATCTAACCGGTCAAAAGTTGTTTGAATATAAGTTTGTACTAACCATATAACTCAACTCTCATACTTTTTATAAATATAATTAAATCAATCAATCATTTACACACATTACATCATTTTTTAATTTACTATTCATTTATTCACATAATGTTAACTACTTATTAATTCCAATAATAATCACTTCAAAACTTTTACATCACATCAAATTTAATTATTACATTTCAAATATTGTTTAATTTCAAACCAAAAATCACCTACTCAATCTATATATATATTTTTTAAATAACTCAATTTATCAAATCAAAATGGGTTAAACGGAACGAACTTGTATCCAAACAAACGAATCAAATCAACTTGTGTCTACGAACCTTTCAATTCATTTAACAACCGCGATTAGGCAATCGTGACACTGGAGAATCAAATAAATTAAGTTAACATAATAGAACGACATAATGAACGAGAAAAATAATGTAAATGTATGATTGTTGATTTAAAAAATGATATGATATGCAACAAAATGGATCGTGACACATATTATTATACCAAAATTATGTCATCTACCATATGTCCATAGAAAAAATTTAAAGTACCAAATCAGCATAATATAAATTTGTAATCAGAACCAGAAATTATTAATTAAAAAAAAAAAAAAAATGTGCGAGCGGAAAGCAAGCCGAAGACCAGCTGCGAGCTGAATATACCGAGCCGATTATAACGGACTGGCTACGTAGCCGGCTCTGTGGGTCCCACACCAACGTAGTTTTTTGATAAAAACCTAATATCTCAAAATGATATGTTACTTCCGTTATCGTTGTTTTCAAAGTGATAAGTTATTCCACTTATCTTCTCTCTGGTCGCCCCTTCCTATAAAAATCACTTATTTCTGCAAGTAATCTCATAAGTTTAATTTATTTATTTTTTTCTCTCTTTCCCCTACCGATAGAGTAGAGAGAGAAAAAGTAGAGAGAGGAAAAAAAACCTTCATGTCTGAGTCGTGGCTTTGTGTGTGTATATATTTACAGAGAGAAATCTAGACTCATCTGTATCTCCATCTTATAGATCTCAAGAAGTAAACCCCTATTCCTTAAATCTATATATATTATTGTATGTATTATGTATATATATTCTATTTGCATTTGGTGTGAGCATATATATATATATATATATATATATTTATTTAGAAAATTTAGAACTTTTTTTGAAGAATTGTTTTTTTTTTTTTTTTTTTTTTTCATTTTTATATGTTTTTTGTTGTATGTGTGCTTTTATGCATTCTTTTAGCTTACTTTTCCTGACTGACTATGGTGCACATGATAGTTTTCACTTGCTTTTTTCTGTTTTTTTTTTAATAATTATTTTTCACTATCCCCTTTATTTGCATCTGGGATTCTATTTAAAGATGGTTTCATTTATGTGATTCATTAAAAATTATATCATGATTTTGTAATTTGTGTTCAAATCTTGCCAGGTTCAGTCATCTGTATGATCTAGGTTTCAATTCAGTCCCCAAGATTACCTTTTTATTTTTGTTATTGCTCTGTAATTGAGCCCCTTTGGAATTTTCTTTCAATTGTTGTCCTTTTTTGCTTGGCATTTGGCAATATATACATATATATATATATATAGCATCAAAATTAATTCTTTTGAAGGTTGTGTGTTGCAATAATTAATGGGGGCACTAGTTTGACAATTTTTTTTT